ATGCCTGGGGGCTAGGTGAGGGGTCCATCAGACAGTCTCTGAGGGGAGTTAGGGAGGCAATCTCTGTTCTGGCCAGGATCTAGCTGGTGGGTGTGGCAGCCATCAGGCAGTGGTCATGTCCTGGAATAGTCTCTCCTCCACAGACATAGGCATGGGCCCTGCCTTCCAGGGGCATCTAGTTGGGGGTGTTGAGAAACATAAAGAAAGCCTCAAAATGGTCCATTGATCCCTTGTCTTGTGTGACAAGTTGCAAAAAGACTGCGTTCAGCCATCCTGATGGACAAGCCCAGGCCATTCAGGTTTATCCAAGTTAAAGCTGCTCAGAGTGAGTTTAAGGCACCCCCTTGACCTGTGGGACAGTGTGTTCATGCCTGCCAGGGGCCATCAATGTGGTACAAATTCCTTCCTTGTGGCATCTGGTCCCATTCCAACTCCTTTGTTCTCTTTGAGACACACAGGCCTGGGGCTCATTCCTGATCTACTTGGGTGGAATTCTAGCTCTATCCTTGTTCTGCCACATTTAAAATCTATCTGACACCTTAAAATGGTGAATATTGCTGTGTAAATTATACTCAATAAACCTACTATATATATATATATTTCCAAAAAATGTATACACACTTTAATAGCTGATAGCTCAATTTTCAAAATGAAATGTATTTTAATAAACACTGCCTTTATAATTATTCAAAGTGTGTGTATACATTTTTGGGGGACATCATATATATATGCTACTAAAAATTACTAATGGATTTTTCTTAAGTCTTTAAAGATTATTATGGCCCTGGCTGGTGTGGCTCAGTTGGCTGAGCATCATCTCTTGCACCGAGAGATCACAGGTTCAATTCCCAGTCAGGGCACATGCCCAGTAAGGGGTGTGCAGGAGGCAGCTGATTGATGTTTCTCTCTCACATCAATGTTTTACTGTCTCCCTTTCCCTTCCTCTCTCTCTCTAAAAAGTCAATTAAAAAAACATATTTTAAAAAAATAAATTATAGTTTTTCAAGATATTACTCAGTGAAAACTGAATGAAGGGTACACAGGATCTCTGTATTATTTCTTACAACTGCCTATAAATCTACAATTACATCAAAATAAAAAAGTTAATAAAATAAAAAATAAAACAATAAAGATTATTATGGCAGCTGGGGGAGGTAAGTGAGCTCCTAGAAATCATGTCATATGAGGAGTGAGAAGTGGGTGCGGTCTTTTAAAATGTGAGTGGTGATCATGTGGAAAAAGACACATTAAAGCCCGGCCGGGCGTGGCTCAGCGGTTGAACGTCGACCTAGGATCCAGGCAATCGGGGTTCAATTCCCGGTCAGGGCACATGCCCGGGTTGCGGGCTCGATCCCCCAGTCGGGGGGTGCAGGAGGCAGCTGATCAATGACTCTTTCATCATTGATGTTTCTATCTCTCTCTCCCTCTCCCTTCCTCTCTCTGAAATCAATAAAGATATATTTTGGGGGAAAAAAAAGACACATTAACTTGTTTTATGTGACCCTGAAGGGCAGAAAAAGAGGTGAGGACTGGAAGCTGCAGGCAAGCAGGTTCTGGTCCCACTAATTTTTGCTGGTGTTTCATGAAAACACCAAGAATTAAAGTCATGTCAACTGCTAGACTCTCGAAAAATCACATCTACATGTGAAAGCTGTCTGCAAACAATGAAAATGCTACTGTCTGCATAGGGTGGAATGTGGGTGATTTTTAAAGTTATTGTTTTTCTAAATTATTCTTTATGTCATTATATTGTCTTTGCAATAAAAATGAAATGTGTTACAGGAAAAGAATGCTACACCCTTTTATTGTTAGAACGTTTCCTGTTTTGGTTTGTTACTGTGTGTCAGGCTGACCATCTCCTTTCCTCACAGAGAAAAGTCTGATGATCCCAGGAAGCAGCCTTTCTTCAAAACCATCAACTTTCCTCGCCTGGAAGCAGGCCTCGTTGAACCCCCACATGTGCCAGACCCTTCGGTGGTTTATGCCAAAGACATCAATGACATTGAAGATTTCTCTGAGGTTCGGGGAGTCGAATTTGAAGATAAAGATAAGAAGTTCTTCCAAAGATTTGCAGCAGGTGCTGTCCCCATAACGTGGCAAGAAGAGATTATGGAAACCGGGCTGTTTGAAGAATTGAACGACCCCAACAGGCCTGCAGGTTGTGGGGAGGGTAATTCATCCAAGTCTGCTGTGTGTTTGTTATTATAAGTTGTTCTCTCTACCAGACAGGCAGCAGGAGTCTCAGCTGACTTAATCCTCGAATGTTCCCGTTAACCTAAAAATAAAAAAAGGCCTTTCAAAGTGAGAGGCAGCAAACACTTATTGAGATCCAGAGGAAGAGCTATTTGGGACTCACTGATTCAGACAGAAGCCCAATTAATGTTCTCATTAGGAGACAAAGGCAACGGGTATTTATGAGAAAGGGAAGGGGCTCAATTACATCAATAGGAGGAAGGCATTACTATTGGTGCAGATAACATAACATAGTGATACTAATTCTAAATAATGTTTTTGTAAATTTTCAGGCTACTAGTCATAATAACTGCTTTCTTGTTATCTTTTCAAACAGATTTTTGGGACATAATGTTGCCCTAGGCCCAGTCCAAAGGTTATTTTGCCCTGTTTTAACATTCCAAAGACTTGAGGCATAAGCCTCGTCAGGCAGTTCCTCTGGCATGGCAGCTCTGGTTCCATTTTAAAGTGGCTCCATTTATTTTATTGTTTACATTCCTAACACACAAAAATCTGTTACAGAGAGAACTGATCAATCAGGTCGTGCATTTTATCATAAAGCAATTCAAAAGGCAGGCAGGCTCGCTGCTTCCCCCCCCCTTTCTTTCTTCTACCTTCCTTCCTTCCCTCCCTCCCTTTCTTTTTTTCATAAAGATGAGTAGATTCTCAGTTTTCACTGAGGGCTGGGAAAAGGAACATTCAGGTTTATTTTGATAAACTAAAAGCATGAGCACTCTACTATCATGTCCCTGAAAATTACACAAAGTCCTAGGGACAGAGAAAGGAACTTTGTGGTATGCGCAGAAAATGAGCATTTGCAATTCTTAGTAAATAATCATTTTCGTTTTCCTTTGTTTATATCCTTTCTTCCCTTCATCTTTCAGTGCTTCTTTGGCTTCTGTACTTACAAAAAGAATTTTGATGCTGGAAATAAATGTTTCTGCTGATATTCTCCCCATAAAAAGGAGGGAATTGTAATATTTTGGCAGTATTTCAGATTATAAACTAATTTTTAATTTACTGAAAGTCTCTTTTCCATATTTTTGAAATATTTTACCATTTTAATGTTGAAGCATTTTAAAAGTAAATATAGATGATGTCTGGGAATTATTCTGTAAATTGAATCCTTTAAGTAATACGTTACAAATTGCTTACACATATAACCCCCTATGCTATTGGTTCCCAAACTTTGCTGAACTTTGGAATCATCCAGGGATCTTTTAAAAATATGAATGTCGGGCCTTAGCCTGTTTGGCTCAGTGGTTAGAGGGCCGGCCTGTGGACTGAAGAGTCATGGGTTCGATTCCAGCCAAAGGGCACGTGCCTTGGTTGCAGGCTTGATCCCTGGTCCCAGCCAGGGCATGTGCGGGAAGCAACCCATCTATGTGTCTCTCTCGCATCGATGTTTCTCTCTCTCCCTCTCTCCCTTCCACTCTCTCTGAAGAGCAATGGAAAGAATATCCTCCAGTGAGAATACAAAAATAAAAAAATTTTTAAAAATGAAAAATGTTTTGTTGCACTGGTTCTTTAATGTGAATGTCTATTGCTTTTGTCAATAAGCCCTAAATATAAATCTGTGTTTTATTTCTTAGAACTGGCCTAAGAAAACAATCAAATAAGATAACTGTATTCAAACCATCACCAAGTATGTGCTGAGCTTCAATTATCCACTGAGCCCTGTGCCGGGCAGTGCTGAGGACACCAGAGAGAAACAAGGCCACCGAGGGCTGTGTAGAATGCAGGCTCCCACTGGTGTTACTACTCACGTTTTAAATGAGAAAACTGCTGCTCATAGATGTTTCGTAGCATGTCCAAGGCCACACAGCTTTGCAGGGCTGGTGTGAAGACTAGAAATAATGTATATGAAGCACGTAGTACATGACTTGCTTGTAGTAGGGGCACAATAAATGCAAGAAGGCTAGGATCAGCAAGCGGCAGCAAGCTGAATGATTCTAAGTCAGGGGACACACTGATGAGAACCGAACCCAGGGGCCTTAATGAGAAGTTCCAGGAAGGAAGAGAGCTGGGTCCCAGGCAGACGGTCGAGAAGGAAGGGTTTTATGCACAATGAAAGAAAAATCTAATTCGGATAAGTGGAGACAATGGGACCCATCCCAGGCCTCATCCTCATCATATGCCAGGTGGGGAACCCCTCTGGGCCAAGTCGGAGCGAAGGAGGCTCATCTGAAGCAGGCAGGCACCGTCAGAGATGGACAGACCTGATCAGGGAAAGCAAATGCTGGAGGTGGAGAGAAATAAACAAATGCAAAGGGATCTGCTCAGGTTGGAAGTGGAATTCAAGTGAAGACTTAAGGTACAACCAGATGTCTCATCAAAGGAAGGAGTTTTGAAAAGGAATGATGCTTATTTTTATAAACCGTTAAAAAAATGAGCTTATGTTTTTATAGAAAAGTTTCATAAACATAATGAAACATCAAGGGAAACAAAGACCTATGAGTGAAATATTTAGACAAAGAACCAGGGGGAAGTCATTTTTACTCTTCCAGCTTGTCAAGGATTATTTGAAATGTTTATGTCTTAAAGGGGG